AAACAGCTTGACCAGGCCTCTCTCCTAAAAGGCAAAAACCCTCCAAAACAACAAACAAACAAAAAACAACCTGGGAATTTTGCCTCCATCTCTTACGGAAACCCCACAGAGTAGCTCAAAGAGCTGTAAGGAGCTGGTGAGTCCCACATCTAAAACATCTCATGAGCTGACACTCAACACCTGATTTTTGTTTTCCTTCATCTTAAACACTCTTAAATTGGGCTATTTAGCAAAACTTGAAGATGTCAAACTCTTAGAAAGCATTTCTTTTAATCCTAAGCTTCATGCATTTACTAACAGCAAAAAGAGAGGACACACACAGAGAGAGAGACTTGCTAACAGGATGTGAACATAACATGGTGTTATCTCTGAGATCTATTACTAAAATTGCTCCCAAAAGAAAAAAGAATGAAATGTTTAAGAAATAAAAACTACTCAGAAAGTAAAACATAAAAGCTAGTTACAATACTGAAAGAGAGAAGAGAAGAGAAGAGAAGAGAAGAGAAGAGAAGAGAAGAAGGAATGATTAGTTCAATATTCCCCAAAGAAAAGGAAGACACACAAGGACACTGGACTAAGAACTACAGGGAGGGATGGGGAAACTGCCTACACTGTCAGGGATTAAACTCAACTGTAAAGAACTAATTGCAGATGTGTAGCTGAGGGGAAAGTCAACTTGCCTTGTCAACATTTTCACTTAAACGACGATCAAAGAAGGAAAAAGTAAAATAGTAAACTACAGAGTTGGCAAGAGAACATTTAAATTTAAGTAATGCACCTTTTAGACAAATTATTAACTAGCTTATTGAAAAATACCAATCTACCTCATTATTTAGTATGGAAAGTAAAATTTTTAAATGCAAAAATCTTTATCTACAAAAAATTCTTGCTCTATGTGAAGATCCTACATAGCTACTGAAAATTAATATTACCCAAAAACCTGCAAATGCTAATTTCTAGAGACATAAAAAACCATATTCTAGATAGTGAAAATACTAGTTCTCTTTTGAACTTCTATGAATTTTTCAAATCACCACTATCACCACAAATTCAAGAATACCAACAAGTCGGTAACTTTGGTGGGTTTGTTTTTCTAATGAAAAATTCTAATGATAAAAATTAGAAGTTCTGGTGGCCTAGTTCTAAGAAGCTGCACTGCAATCACAAAGGCACAGAGTTGGAATTCACCAACTGTTCTGCAAAAGAATGGGCAATCTGCTCCCATGCAATTTACTGCCTCTGAAAACCAGCTGGAGAGGGAGCTATGGGTCAGGACACAATAGTAACAACAATGATAAAAATTCAATAAAAAGCAGTAGCAATATTTTAATGAAATTCTATTTTGTGAGAGAGAGAACAAGTGTGACTAACCTGCTTTGATTTTCAAACACTAAATGATAAATGTATTAGCAACGCCATAAAAAAATTAAAAAAAAAAAAAAAGTATTAGCAACACAGTGCTGACAAAGGTCAAGGGTTTCTTCAGTTTACCAGGACAAGGGAACAAAGTTTGAAAGGGTGATTAAATCTTGAGAGACTCTGGAGCCAGGTTATGTTTGAAGGACAAGAAATAAGTAAGCCAAGGTAATTAAAATCTTTCTGCATTAAAGTCCTACTGTTGATGCAAGTCCACTACTACATTTCTTCCTGTAGGATCCATAACAGGTAAAAAAGCTTTATAAACCATTACTTAAGAGAGCAAGTAACCGTAAGTTTCTTGACTCTAAAAAACCACCATGATGAGTCTCAAGCTATTGGATTTTGGGTTAAAAAAGCCTCTGGTATGAAAATAATGTTAAGTATTTCTTACTCAATGTACTGATATAATCACTGGCTTTTTCACCTACCCCTATTAGAAAATCAAAATCTATCTTTAGATTTCCTGAGAAAACAAACTTCTAATTCTTTCCATCATTCAGATTACACTCCCAACTATTTTGGGGTGGCTTGGACTTTTTGGGGGGCTGGGTTTTTTTTGTTTCATTTTTTGGTATTGAAATGCAACTGAGTTAGTTACTACTTTTAATTTCTACTGTAAAGAAAATTCTGGGTTGTCCTACCAGACAAGAACCTGAAAGCAGCTCAATCAGTTTAGTATACTTCTCCTTGCTCCTGAACTCAAAGCTTTGTAACTTGTAGTTTTAATTTATAGTTAAATGATCACAATATGAAAGTATTCCACAATATGGCTCCGAAGAGGTAATTTTATGTGAATCAATATAAATGTAAAATTCCGTTCAGTCTATAACAAACTTTACTTGACATATACTAAGTGACAGTAAATGTCAGCAGTTAAGATAACATTCTGAAATCATGAAACTATTAAAAATCCATTTAAAAAATTTTAATTTATCTGAAGTTTAAAACAAGGTGTTAAAGAAAGTTGATTTACATTTGGATGTTAGAACTCTAAGAATGTTTCCTTTTTTTCCTCTATTCTACCTTGGCAAACAAAAACAAAGACAAACCTCCACCCAAAAACTTCACTTAAAGGAAAATGAAAGTCAGCTAAAAATCTGGTTGTCAACCTGTTTGTCCTAATGAAACATCATAATCTTCTCTCACTCCAGTAATTTCACTCAATTTTCGAAGGTTTCCCCACTTGCTAGATTGCTTTATATAGGCAGTTTAGGATATAAAATCAGTAGGCTAAAAGACAATACTCAAATTCAAAAAAAACCATAAAAATTATTTCAAGGTTTGACTCTGAAATCAATTAAATTAGTACAATCCTCAAAAGAATGGTCTGACATTCTATTTACATAATAATGTCCTTATAGTTTTGAAAGTCTATAAACTTCCAACTATAAAAATAATATAAACAGAAAATGGTAAAGTATAAAATGAACTAAGAAATCAGAAATAGCCATTATTATTCTTTTAATCTCTACAGCATGCTTAATTGCTATCTTACTATAAGCAGTTTTACAGTGATTTTTCACAATCATAACATGAATGTTTCAAAGTGTTACTGTAAAGTCCTCAGAGTTTTCAATGTTAGTAAATATTCTTAATAAACCAAAAAGAAATATTGTTCCCATTATTTATTAGCTACTCTTCCCCCGTTAACTGTCAACTTCAAAAATCCCCATTCCCAAAAAAAAAAAAAAAAATCCCCATTCCCTTCTGCATAACCAAATCTAACTGCAACTGATCCTCTTACAGGTAGGTCCTTTCCTGTTAAAGTCTAACTTTCAGGTTTTCCTGAATTAAAGTGCTCACCCTCCTGACACCCTGTGCATCCAGGCCATCTATCTGGAACTTGATATTGATCTACTGCTATGTAACATACATGCAGTTCATGTTTACTATACTATTCTGAACGTCTTGAGGGTAAGAATTCCATTTCTGAATCCTAGCACTGTGACAACGTCTCACAAAGGATGCACATTGCCTAAAGAGGGGTCTTGGAGTTTGAACTTCACAAGGGGATCCTGATAGGAATCGTGACAAAAACAAGTCCCATTAGTTTACAAAAAGAAACATGTTCAGGGCCAAGATAAACTTGTTAAGGCTCTCTTCAATATTTAAGAAGCCTTATTCACAGCACTACCTATATGTAACACATACAAGGAACTCCCTGCACAGTATATGTACCAACAGACCTTCCTAAAAGAGCAAACTCATGTTCTCCACTCTTCACAGGACAACTTCCTAAATTAAGACCTTGAGTTCAACTCTGCCCAATTATGTAAAACGTTGCCCATGGAGCACCCAATAAAGAAATGGAAAAAGTAGTCAACACAGCAACCGTGTCACTCTACGGACACTATCCTCAACTTCCAAAAGTATGCGACATTCTAACAAATACTGTCTTCTGCTTCGCACAGAAGAAAGAGAACATTTCTGCATCAAACCACAGGATTACAAAATCTGAAGTCAGAATGCATTTTGCAAGAGCCATGTGACATGCACATGACAGTCAGCAAGATTGATGGGTGGACTTTTTGGGGCACATAGTAAGCAAATAAATTCCACTTAAGGGGCAAATATTAATTTTTACTTTCAAAACGGGGCGGGGGGGAGGACAAAACCACGTCCCTCTTTCCCTAGAAAACTTTCGTGCCTAAGGAAGAATATCAAAGGACTCCAACCAACAGTTTATATGTAGTATTTGTGCAAGCAGAGGACACTGCAGATTTTGGGTTTTGAACCCCAAGGTCTTCCCCAAAGTGACCACCAGCTGGGCGGAGAGGGGCCAGGTGGGTCACATCTGCTGAGGGGATTTCTTGAGTGAGTAAGCAAGAAAAAGAAATGCATTAACTTTTCATGACACGTCATGGAACCTCATCGCCGATCTGCGCGCTTGCAAGCAGGTAACACAAAACCTCCGCATCCATCACGGGTCCCCTTCGCTTCTTGCAACTAGACAGCAAAGGGTTCTTTGCCTTTTAGAGTCTCAGGGAGACACGACTCTTTAATAATGTGACCTACACAAGACAAGACGAGGGAAGCGTCCTCTTAAACAAACAGAAGCGCCGATGGCCAGGTTTCCAGGGGAGCCAGGACACTCTCCTGGAGGAAACGACACGGGGGGCAGGGCTCCGCACCCTCGGCCCCCTCCCCGCAACCCCACGCAGTCCCGAGAAGCTTCCATGTCACCTGCAGCCCTGCAGGGAGGGTGGGCGCAGGGAGGCGGGCTCAGGACGTACAAATCCAGCTGGACCCACCCCGGCGAGCCTGACAGCTCGGCCGAGCCCGGGACCCGAGGTCTCCCACCCCACCTCCTCCAGGGAACCCGGCTGACAGTGGCCTCCGCCGCGCGGGCCCCGCGCCCCGACCTGTCCGCTGACCCCGGCCCAGCCCCCCGTGGCTCGCCCCTCGGGCCGCCCCCGCCCCGGGCCGCCCCTCGGCCGCCAGACAATGGGGCCGCCGGCCTCTCCCAGTCCGCCACCCTCCCCTCCCCACGGCCAGGCCGCCGCCCACGGCCTCCTTGACCCTCGGAGCGGCCGCCCAGCGAGCCCCCCGACCCAGCCGCCCCGGGGCGCCCCTGCACTCACTATTCGGGATTCATGCTGGACATGTCACTGCAGCTGCCGCCGCCGCCACCTCCGCCCTTGCTGCTGCAGCCGCCGCCCTGATTCTCTGCGCCACGGGTCGTCAAAGGAAAGGGATGAGCTAGGCTGTGCCGGGAGAACAAACGGCTTCCCCTACTCTGTCCCCTCAGAACACAAGCAGCAGCCGCCGCCACTCAGCGATCGCTTCCACCCAAAATGGCCGCCGGCGAACCAGGAAATAGGGAAGCCTTAGACCAAGGGGCCTTTCCACGGCCCCGAGGGCGGCCGCGCCGCGCAGCCTGCCGGGAAAGAGAGTCCCTGGCCGCCGCTGAGACCGCCGAGGCCCGACGGTACAGGGCGGCCTGGACTCGCCTTCCCGCCAAGCCCTGCGCGTCGGGCGCATGCGTAACTGAGGGGCTTGTCGTCCACCTCATTCCCCACTTCCTCACCCCCGCCCTGCAGCTCCTCCCTGGTCCCCTCCCCTCTGACTCGCTGGCTAGGACTTCGCTCGGACTCCCCCTGGCGGATTGGCTGAGGCCGAGAGGCCCTGGTGATGTCATCAGTGAGACGTGGCAGCTGGGCGAGTCAGTGCCCCCGGGGGAGAGGGGGGCGGGGAGGGGCAGAGCGCAGCGCCGGGGCGGGGCGAGCGGAGGACGCGGAGAGGGGGCGTGGCCAGAATCAGGAGGCTGAGTGCGAGGGGGCGTGGTCAGGCCGAGAGTCGGGGAGGGGACGTGGTCAGAGTCATGGTCTGTGCGGAAGCCGAGGAGGGGGCGTGGCCAGGCCGAGGTACTGCGCGAGTGCGAATGGGGCTTGGCTCCGAGGCGGGCGGGGACGGGAGTGGACTGTCCTGGTGCAGAGGCCGGAGTGGTGGGGCCAGCGGTCAAACTGCGCGAGTGCGGACGCAGGCAGGGAAGGAGACTGGAGGGCACGCCTCCCCAGTCCGCCTCCCCAGAGCCTCCCCGGCTCGCTTGAGCTCGCCTGGTCTTAAGGTGTCTGCAGCTCTTCTCCAGGCCCATCTGTATCCGGTCATCCTAGAGCTGCCGTGTACATTCCGTTTTCTCTCTCGATTCCTTAAAGTCATCTCCTCGTCCGTATCGCCTGACCCTGGAGACTGCAGCTGCCTCCGAATGGACGCATTCTCTATTTTCTGCCTGCCGGCCCTTTTTGCACACACAGCCAGATTGCTTTTCCGGAAAAACACTTGGCGTGCACCTTGAGTTGTTTCATGGACTGGACGCAGCCCAAAGGCAGTTTAAAATTCCGAGTTCCTCCTGCCAGGGCCCCAGCCGCCCATTTGAAATGTATCGCCTTGTTTTTAATTGATATTTAATACTGAGCCATTTTGCGAGATTGAAAAAAGATAGAAATAAGTGTTAGAAATGTGCAACTCATCACTTTTATACTGCCTTGAAACTCAGGGGCATTTTTAAACCTTTGGGTCATAAGAGTGCTCTTTAATCAGCTTAGGAATTGAAATCTCCAGTAAACTTTAACACATTATCTTGGGTTCTTTCATTACAAAGGGCATAGTATAATGCATTGTCCAAAGTTTATCTTCCAAACAAGCAAATTATCTCTCAGGGCAGATTGCAAAATCACTGTATTCCTGTGACATTGAAATATAGAGAGAAGGGGTTCTCATGTCCTCTTAGTGTATCTCTTAACCACAAATTCTAAATGTACCTTAGTTGACACCCACATCACCAGTTCCTTCACATCATGCTGGCTTCTGAAATAAACATGGTCACCATCCTAGAGAAAGACTCTAAATAGGTCAGGTCAGTGATAGATGCCCTGGATAGACATAGACCCTGATCCCTACAGTTTATTGAGATTTCACAGAACTGAAAAATCAGAAAATGGCTCAAATACTCTCCAGAACCAAAATAACGAGAGCTCTGGTGGTCTTGTGGAAAGAAGCTGCGCTGCAATCCCAAAGGCACCGGGTTCGAATCTGCTAAACTGCTCCATGGGAAGATGGACAATCTCCTCCCCTGTGATTAAAAGCCTCTGAAAACCCACTGGAGGGTCAGCTATAGGTCAACTCCTACTTGATGTACAGAACAGCAACAATAATCCCTCCTCTACAATAAGGGATTTATCTTTAACTGCTCCACAAATTGCTGTCTGTCAGATACTCCTCTAAATCTGAACATTCAGATTAAGACAGACTAGGAAGAAGGATTGG